CTAAGCGTCGTGCGATTAGGATAAATCCGATTAAGTTTAGCTGCTTCCGGAATCTAACAAGATACTCATTAGGCTCAACACACTCATCTAAAAACTGAACACTTGTATTGGCTCCGGTTAGCTGTGTGGAAAACCTCAGTAACTGATTGAGCTCCTTCTCCACTGAGGGAGGCTTGGATAGTTTAGGCAAATTGAAAATTCCCATTCGGAGTCAAAAGAGCACGAGACCATAGGTGAACAATTGTTTTGATGATTCTCTTCAGACCACCACAATCATATTTAATAGTAAAATAAGGAACTGAAATCGACTCATTGGCTCAAATTACAGAGTTAATTAACGGTTAAGTGTGGTAGAATAAAAGTTGACTTTCGACCTGACAGGTCGATTGCATCGTTCGTTCTAGCTGGCCAGGGAAGCTGTAAGGCTGTCAGGGTAGGCTGTACGTTGAGTTCATCATGAGGCAGCGGCTATTACATCTTGGTTATTACCTCATATTGAAGCCGCTGCTCCAATATACACGTACCAAGCAGCACACGATGACACCGGCACAAGCTTACATTACCAGATTTGAAACGGCTCACATACCAAATCTGCTGCGAACCGAGAGTGGTCTGCATATGTACCAAGGTGCCGCCGTAGGTAGTCGAAGTAAATTCAAGGTCAGAATTCAAACTTCTTATACTAACACTTTATCGACATGAATTATCGGAAATGTTCGTCTACGCAGCTCGTCAGTAAACCTGTGGAATTATAAATACAGCCACGCAGCTACTTCTTACTCTCTCTATCCATCAATCAGTAATCAGCACAAGGTCCAGTAAGGGTGGAATTTAATGGGTTATGTGATATGGTTTTACAAGATAATCTTCAAGGTAGATGCATACATTCCTGCAATGAGTTGTTTAATAACTTAAGCTGGTAACTCCATTACGTTTACACTGAAGTCACAATGTATTAAGACACTCTTACCCACAGCGTCTCTCCACACAAGACGAATATTGAGCCCACATCACCTCCTGAAGTGGATGCTTAAAACAGTGAGTAACAGTCATAGGGCACAATTCGTTGCTCCTAGGCCGGGTACAGCGCCACACAAACTTCGGATCCCAAACTGTCGCACATTTTAGGTCACTGCGTTAGTACACAAGGTATTTGCTTCCGCGCTGGGGCGATCATTAGGGATTTGTAACGACTCCTGTGCTTTACTAGAGAATCAGCAGATTCTAAGTGCAGTAAAATCTCAGCAGTGAGAATGAGACCTCAAGCGTTATGGCAAAACACGAGTTTGTGATTGCTTAAAAGCCGGTGAACATTGTAGTAGTAGGACTATAATTACTCAAATTTTATCAACCTCACACCTTACATTTCAGGTATATTGTTTCGTCAAAATCCGGCTGCTTTCTCCAAGTGAAATCAACATTTATCTCGACACGAATGATAAAGCCACAGCGTCGAAGTTATTGCACCTGCTCAACCTTTTACCACAGTCTTGAAATTATGTCCGACTATCTATCTTTCTGTTGACAATGCCGGTCTGAACTCCACTACAGCAGTGAAAGATATGGGAGTTGCATTAAGTCGTGATCTCACATGGTCAGATCACGTGAACGAAAATGCACTAAGTCAAAAGACGAAAGCTATAACTCACCGGACTAAGGATTCATCCGGGCCTAGTTTGTTGATTTTACGGTTTATCGCCACTTGTATATTGCTGCACTGGACATATTGCTCCCCTGCGATGTATCAAACTTTTTATGGATAATCCAATATGATCTACAGGTCACTGAAGCATCTTGCTGAATGAAGCAGAATTTAAATGTTGGAGTTCACTGAGGAAATCGTGCTAAATCACGTTCATTCCTGAGAAAAAGTGGCGTCCAAATCACTCATTGATGCCAGTCACACGTCCATAGTTTATTTCCGTAATGTATCCTGATTCTTCCACGAGAAAAATGTGTAAAGCCACTCATGTTCGCACACGGACTCAAGGTTTGTCAGTTGTTCTCTGTTTGTCACGTTTCGTCAGGGATCAGAATTAAGTCAATCAAGAACTCAGCACCAAACTGAATTGATGTTTTCCCGTTTTTCAAGATCTGACACACCACCAATTTGAGAGGTTACCAATTCAGTTTTGCCACGCAATATACTCGGCTAGACAGTCGATGGAGCTTCCATTATCTTCCCTTGTGTCAGCATTGGAATACCCTCCCAAATTACGTTCGCACCCATTTTACCTTGGTTTAAAAAACCATATTTGACCTAAGCCGCCTACCCTACCAGATATAGCTTGTATGTATCGACAGACGATATAATGCGCCAAAGTTGCAAAACCAGAAGTAATCTACGCAACTGAGGTCGGCACTTTGCTTAATACGTACACTCGTATATCTTGGGAGAAAATAATCACGTCAATCTAAACTTTCATCACTTGCTTACCTTTCCCTTTGAAACTGCGCAAATAATCATCTGTTCGCGGAGATCCCTGTAATGTTTCGTGCATTCCTGAGGCATCAACACAGATTTACCTGGCGCAATATATGCGGGGTCCATTTATCGTCATTTGTCTGACTTATATGATGTGTAGTGCTTGGGTTTCCTTCGCGGCTCAATAAGCTCTGTACATTATTAACATGACCGGTGTCCCATCCAATAGCGTGGCATTCAGCACCGGTTTCCAAAAGATTGTGCTCATTTAGCAAGCAGGCGTAATTAATCTCTGGATCTGCGATAGATCGAAGTGCTGCCATTTGAGTCTAATCAAACCAACATCCACAAACATGCATAATCCAAATAAACTAGGCAAACCACGTTTAAATACCAATGATATCCACTCCCTGCTAACAAATCACAGGTACGTTCTCGCAGGTCCGCGTCTGTCACTCATGGCGAAGTGGCACTGAATGCTGGCAACCGGAAGCCATGGTGTTATACACAGCAGGTGATCATGATGCATTAGCTGAATTATACCAACAGCTTCACTACACATTAGTAAGATAAATACCTGTCGGGTTGGAAGCTAAGTATTTGTGCCGTGCCAAGTCATCATGCGCAAGATCCTAGCTTGTAGGGCTGGCTGCTGTCCCCTGCGCAGTTCATAACCGCCATGGCCGTGGACAATGAACCGGGCTACATTATACTCAACTGTCAATCATGCAGGTCCGCGCCTGTCACCCATGGCGAAGGGACACTAATTGCTGACATCCATACCTCATGGGCGCAGTACAATGTAAATGCCTGCTGGAGGGAAAACCACTGAAGAGACCCAAAAAGATCGAAACACCGATGTCTGGTGCTTTTTCAAACTTGCTAAAGCCTGCCGACTGAGAGTGATCATGATGGATTATCTGATTTCTACAAAATTCCTAACTACTCATTCTAAACCACAACAAGAAACATACCAAAATGAACCTACGTTTGGTAGATTCGACTTGTGCTATAGTAGTAGGCAATATGTAAACAAACGTGCATGAGAAAACAGAAAAATGCAGATTGGGTTTTAATTTCTTCATGCAGCGATTACTGATCGGTAGCGTTAATGGATTCCAAACATTTCGAGGACACCGGTTGAATCGTGCGTGCGTACCAGGCGACCAACACATAATCTTAGTGTACGCGCGACTAATTGTTGCTTTGTGGCAGCAAAGTGGGGGTACTGAGTACCGGCGTGTTGGTGATGCCTCACTTATGATGTCATACATTAATCAAGGTTGAATAAAGCATTGCCCCTCGGGAAGTGCGTCACACTCCATTTAGAAATGAGAAGTAACAATTTAGGACCCTTACTCGGAAGCCTGAAAGTGCTCGATTTATTAACTTGTAGTTATTAACGGTTAGCTAAATTCAGCCTCGGCAAATTGTGCAAAAGCAAGTAGTTACCCATTTCTCGATTCAGGTTAAAAGTAAGGTCTCAGTGGAATATCAGCGCAATGCTTCGAAGCCAAATTCAAGCAATAATCAAAACCATATTTAATGGTTAATCAAAGTAGACAAATATTTTTGAGGTATAAGCCTCAGTACCCACTGTCCACAGCTTTCCTATTTAAAGGTTATCTGCAATTAGAGAATCTACAGACAGCTGAGCCGGGCTTATTAATTTATTCAATAATCATCACAGTAAATCTGCGCCGTCAATAAAATGTGCACGTATGTGATGGAAGAAATGTCGTTTGACAGTTCGAACACATCGAGATAACCATCACTGAAATAAACGGAAGCGCTGTTAGCCCCAGTATTTCAATATACATGAGTCTTCAAGACCTTTGTGCAGCGCCCACGGACTTCATGCAAGCGTGTAAGACGGAAAGAATTAATCCAACTTTATAATTGTAGATGTATGATTATTGGCATATATGCAGTAAGGGCTCATCTCGCCATATTTTTCACAATGCAGACCAAGTTTGGCTTGTGCTGATAAGAGCACAGTTACCGCAGTATGCACGGCTTGCATTTAATAATGCATCTCCATCATCCATTAATTCGATAAACCGATATCTGACAACTACAATGAGAGAATTAGTAACAGTTTTGCTGTCGATTCAGAGCACCAGAGGCTTAATTTCAATAACAAGTAAGCATTAAAAATAGTAACGTCTTCATTATGCCTATGTTTAGTTTAAATAAAACTGATGCGCGAACAGTGTATACTGCTTAAACATTTCTGCTGCCATGCTGCTGTTTTTGCGAGCAATCGAGCTGACCATGAAAATGGATTGCCAGTAGTTCTGTACAAAAAGCATACTTAGCACTACCTGACTTTTATTGACCACAGTTTTGCAACTGATTCCCCTCACCATGAAGCACTCCAGTCATTGTAACTTCAAGTGAAAAGCGACCAAAAAGGTAGCTTCCGGGTAAACATCTTCTAGGAAGCGTCGGAACCGACATACAAATCAAATATTTATGAGTACAAAAGTAACTAGAACACTCGGCAACCGTGTCTTTTGAATTACACATCGTGCGAAGGCGTCGCCCACGCTAATTTTGTCAACCCAACCTCATCTCATGATGCATTCAAATCATATTGAGACTTACAATCTTCAACTGGCTCTTTCAAATATAGCAATGCGATATCGGCACCGTTGTTCTCTCTACCAAGTTGAAAAGCCGGGTGCAAGATTACACTTTGTATCACGTTTAGTTGATAATACTCTTCTCCCGTTTGGATGTCAAGGTCACCCACAAGTGCAGATATACGGACATTATCAACTTCGGCGTCCTCTTTCGGTTCCATAAGCGAGTTCTTATCCACCAATTCGGTGGCGCAATGCCCAGCGGTGACAATCAACTGAGGACCAATTAGCATTCCACCGCACAGAATTTCTTGGCTCTCCTCTGTCGATGGTATCGACAAACGAACCTATAAATGGGGGGAAAACTAGCCTAAGATCACTATGCATCAGTCCATTCTAAATCCAATGAAAAGTAAGTGCATCGGACAAAATGATTACAAGTCACACTACTAAAACAAATCTAGCCATTCATTCTAGTGTCTGTGTGCTGAACACAAATATGGGTCAAATTTCAAGATTGGGTCTAGGTTATTTGTGCTCCACCGTAACGTTTACATAGCTAACTACATAACAATCGCTTTTATGTAATAAAATTATTGAATTTAAACCAAAATTATGTTCTGGGGTACTTCATCGGTTTCCTTACCTGTTTTACGATTATTTCTGGCGACTGTCCAGCAGCATTCAGCCAACATGATAGAAGGTCAATTTCCACAGTAACGTTGTTCTATCATCGATATTTCTTGGTCTAAACATTCGCTATGTTCATCCTTAGCCACAAGGCAATTTTAAAGGTGTAAATCAAGGTCAAACTGAAAAAAGTGCCTTTTCTACTTGTTATGTCCAATTTTGGATAACTCTTCTGCATGTCTTCCACTAGATCTGTAGGGCTTTGTGTTTATCCCTCCTTAAAATGTTAGCAAGCAAGCAGTACTCCAAGCTTGTTTCCCAGCACTCTGCAGCGAATTGTTGAAAGGCCATCTTTATATATACATATATATATACATATATATGTGTAATTTTGCATGCAAATACATATATATATATATTTATAACACCGGCCCAATGAATATTTGGCAGTTTGCCACAACACATGAGTAACAATAACAAAAAGGACGAAGTGTGAGTCAGCTGAATGGATGGAAAATTCCGGCTACATGGTCACTGACCCCTCACCCCTATAACTGGGGGCGGCTATCTAACGGCGAGTGGTTGAACAACCTCGCTGGCAACCGGCTTCCCTGTGGACTGCGTCCAAATACAAAGAAGGTAAATGAGCCATTTGATTTTCAACGGGCTTCAAGAATCACCTCGCTGTCTTGCGGATCAGGTCTTTAGACCAAAGGCTCCGGGTGGGATCCCCTAATTCAAGACTCCTCCTCAGCTTGAACAACCAGGAAGCTCAATGCCCACACTGCACCTGGGACAGCACATAGTCGTCTTTAACTAGCTGTCAAGCCTGAAGACCCACAAAAGCCATCCTTTGTATTTTGCCTTGGTGTCTTGGGAATTTTATGACGTTGATATCAGTACGCTGGTGATATTTAGTCCATTAAGTACACAAAGTACTTCACTAAAATTAGGATGATGTGTGACGGTGGTAGCATGATTTTATGAGCCCTTACGATAGCTGGGTGTTGGACTTTCTCCCTTCCAATTGTTAAACTATGTATACTTGTCTGTTCTATTGACAATTATTACAAAACCATTGCTCGCTTATCCGGCTCGCAACAAAAATAGATGCAATTTGTGTATCCTAGCTCCAACTCCGTTAAGTCACCACGGAGATGCCAGCCTTACCTGCTATCCACAATAGAATTCAGAAAGGCAAAACAGTGGGTAATCTTCAGCCATTTATTTAGAACTGAGAAAACATAAGTTGCCACATGTCTACATTTCGGTTGTTATCGCCAAGCGCAGACACAATACAAGCGGAATTCATAGACAGTTATCTACAGGGAAAAATTAGCACATCAATCAAAATTTGAACATCAAAACCACGGTAACCTAATCGATTGTCTCAATAAATTATGAGCACACAACACAAGTTGATAAGCCATAATTAGCAAAGTCCCACTAATTGCCAAGATTATCGGATGGTTGTTGCTTAATAACATCTTGAATGCAGTCTCCGGGTTCATGTTATCTTCAGTTGCCAAAAGATGCATGGGGATATATGATGCTGGGGTCGGGTTCATCCTCGGACCCACTCCGTTTTCTTGCGCCATCAGTTGGTCCAACCACCCCGGCACATGTTCATCTACCCTCTGAGCTGACTGGCGGTAAGTCCTACTTATGTAAATGTCACCGCAACCGCAGGTGAAATGATAAACGACGGGAGAGGGCATGCTGATTGATGAGTTGATCTGACGGTCATGAAGAACAAGGCTTCGCGTTGTATGTTCGTGTTACAACTGGGTGGTCGCATAGCTGCGCATAAGGGTGGACCGGTTTTTAAGTCCGATATCATTAGATACATTGTATCTTTGAACGGCAATAACAAATAAGCATTCCATTATCTCTGCTGTTAACACCGGTATTTTCTTCTTGGGAGGCCTGCTGTGGATCGGAAGGAACTTTCTAACATACGCATTTGACACCAACGTTTTGAACGAAAATTCTTCTTTAGCTTGCAACATTTCGGAGCGGTATATCCGTCTGGGTCTGTAGAACAGCGTTTTCACTACGCCAAGTTTGTATGTTACCGGGGCAAATGTGGAATAGTGGAGGTACTACTAACCCCAAATTGACTTGTGATGAAGTGTGCACTGAGACAAGCAATTAGTTTACTCTGGTTCTGATTTTCACATTTTAATTGGTGTGCTATTTTTACCCTGGTTATAACTGTCTATGAATTCCATTTTAATTGTGCAAGCGACTGATGAGATCCATGGAAATTTTGACAAATCACAAATTATGTCTTCCACTGCACTGACAATGGAATTCAACAACTGCTTTGGGACTACAACTTCAGCTGCTAGATCAAGAAAATTTCGCAGGAAACCACATTGCTCCACATCTGAGTTCGGCTCTTAAATCCCCGACCGAGAGACACCTGGAAAAAGCAATATTGAAAACAAAATATCCCGAGGAACTGATAAGCCACTAGAAATTGCCTAAACAATTTGTAATCGAATTATTTTCGAGAGCAACACAAAACCGATATTATGCACTTGCATTGGCGGGCCTAAGAATTCGGTAAATGAGGCCTCGTAGGGATTTTAGTTTCCAATACTCACTGCAGCTGCTATGTACCATAAAAAGAATTAGCTCTTTTGTTTAAATAAACCAAGTATATTATCGCCCATGTTGTCAAATAATGTGGATGATTTGAGTTATCGCAACAACGTAGAGGTCGTCAGGTTCGCTGGTGGCGGGAGCCTGCTGTTTGGTTACTGTGTTTAAGGTCAACCGGTGAATGCCACACCGATGCTTCACACTTGCTATTATTCCAGATAGACACCGAAACAATCCAGTGTGCCTAGCCATTTTGCAAGTCAATCTATCCTGCGTTAGAAGTGCTTTTGCTGCTAAGTGTACTACCTTACTAGAATGAGGAAATAATTGCGTTAATAAGAAAACATAACTCCAAGGCTAAGCTTACCTAATCATGCATAACCATCTTTATTATAAAATTACACCATGGATTCTGGGTTTTCCATGGCGCATTTAACAAACCAACCCTCATCCTAACTGCAGTGCTCATTCATCAGCTGACCTAGCTTGTATTGAGGGTAATTTCAACCCCGAATCAATCACTCGGCTGTGTCAAACACTGCTCGCGGAGCTCAAAGGCCTAGTGATCATGGCGATAGCCGCCAAGAACTATGCGCCTAGTTCCTCTCCCAGCTCGGCTATCTCTACCTGATGAGTCTAAACAAAGGTGAAACCGTCGGTCGTGGAATGCATGGATGGGAGAGAGCCACACCGAAACCCTCCACTCTGTACTCTTTAAGTAAAACGGCTCTTTTGTGTAGCAACAAGCTTGTAAATAACTCCAGAAGAATAGTCAAGAAAAGTTTAGGGTACAATGTAAAAGCATCCTGCTTGCTGGAGGTAGAACTTTATCGCTGTCTCATAAACATAACACAAATTTTCGTAACCCTGTCCAGAAACAAGATAAAGTACCCGGAAAGCTGACCAATTTATTAATATTTTATAGTGAAGAGAATTTCTCAGTGCACTTATAGTGATGTTGCAAAACTTTGGTTGCACCCTCACATGAATGTTGGACTCATTAAGCTAAGTTGCGACCGCCTAAGAGAACTACAACGTTCTACTAGAGGTGTTATCAACAAATTTAATGACAGTCGTGGTAAATTCGTTTCAAAGCCCTCGCCGTGGTCAATAACGTAATTAATCTGTCGTCTATTGGATATAAACTAATCTAGCAGTGCAATTGTATAACTCTCCTAGTTGGTACATTCCTATAACTCTGAAAACAGCGCAGTTGGAGCTACAAATCTTGAATAACACCTTGCTTTAGTGTTATATCCAAGTTACAAAGATCCTTAGCGTTCTCACCCTAAACGACAATAAAGGGGAAACAAGGTCCATTAAGGTCACCGGCTCACCTAGTTCAGGGAAATTTTCCACCTGAACCATGCGCATCCAGTTAGTTCCATCTGGAAAAGCGAGCTGTTTGCTAATTCCAAGCGTTCAACCCTTGACAATTTCAACCTAAATATAGCGATTATTCACCTCAAGTTATGCACTAAGGTCAACAATGTTGCGCTAATAAAGATTCCGTGCAAAACTGTTAAGCAATGAAATCGTTCATCAGATAAGAGTAGAAAGGCATATTTAAAATTATTTCAACTGATTTTTTGGGTTTCACATATGAAGACTTGTCAGCCCTAAGCAAACATCTCACGAACTATGGTGTCCTCTGGTTTGGTATGTGTGGCGCCACTGAGACAAACTATTCACAACTAACTGATTCCTACTTCATTGCTTAGGAAGCTGTGGAGGAGAAAAACTATTAGAAACACAAGCGTTTCCTTGTACTGCTGTCAATGACTAGTTTTCATTGATGTTTTGTTGTATTGTATCCCGCCGTTTTTATGTGAAGTAGCAGAAATGCATCAACGTGGGCAGACAATGCTTATATATATTTAAATTGACTTTAAATAAATTGCGTAAAATAGTGGACAGAGACGTAAACTCAGGGGCACCAAACCTGTGACATGTGTCACAGCATCTGTAACTATTTAGTCAAGTGACTAGAACATGACGACTAGATTATTACTTAACTTAAACCTACCAAAGCAAAACCTAACGGATATCGTATTTACGAATCAATTAATCATGGTATCCACAAGCATAAATGACTTGCTGAGGGACATAA